GTCTCTGTGGGTCGGAACTGACTCAACGGCACTTAGCAACCACCACAATATAGTGTTTAAAGATGAACACTTGGATGATAGAACTATAAAGAAAAGTAAGGAAGTAAGTCCATAAAAAGTACGATAAAAAAGGGTCATCAGTAGTGTTGGCTCTTAGGGATGAGGGAAGGGCCTGTGATAAGGGTGGGCCGGTGGAGGCTTCAGGTGTGGCCGGTAAATCCTGGCCTAAGTAATGATTAGAAAGGTGGTCTGCTTTATACTGATTCATTAAGCAAAAACTATGTTATCTTAAGTTTTATGTATCTGCATTATATTTAACAATAAAAATGTGTTGTTTTAAAAAAAAAACCCAAAAGATAATGGAATTTTTCCATGAAGTTTTTGAAGCCCCCTCCATGAGTTGAAGTCCTAACTCCAACCCTAGTACCTGTGTATGTAATACTGTTTGGAAATACGGTTTTCTTTTGTTGTGTTGATGAGATCATATCGGAGAAGCATGGGTCCTAAGCTGAATCCTTCTGCTACATGACATCAAGTGATGTGCAGACACAGGAGACACCATGTAGAACTGGAGGTCAGTGAGTCTACAAGCCCAGGAACACCCATGATTGCCTGCAGCTACGAGAAGCTCAAAGAGACAAAAAGGATCTTTCCCTGGGGCCAGTGCCCTGAATTCAGACTTCTAGCCTCCAAAACTGTGTAGAAATAAAATTCTATTCTTTAAAGCTATCCACCCTTGGTAATTTTTGGTTTGGGCAGCACTGATAAACAAAGAGAAAACTTTAGTGGGAGATTCACTCTTGCCTCAGCCCAGTTTCTGGTGGGCCCTGCTGATCCTTGGTGCTCTAGATGCATCTGGAAGCTAGCTAGATGCATCCCTCCAATCTCTGTCTCCGCCTTCACATGGCCACCTTCCCTCTGTTGTCTCATCTCCTCTTTTCATAGGAATATCAGTCATGTTCGATGAAAACCCCTCCACTTCAATATGTCATTGTCAATTACATCTACAAAATCCCAAACGAGCACATTCACAGATACTGAGGTTTAGGACTTGTGGGGGCACAATCCAGCCCATCACTAGTAGCTTCTGTCCCTCACCCCTCCTCCTTATGATCAGGGAACTGAGAGAACTCCTATATACACCCCAAACCAAGGTGTGGAGGCTTGGGTTGGGTCATGAAAACAACGCTAATTCATCTAGGACATCCTGTGGCTTGTGCATCTCCACCTGACTTACTAAGATGCAGTGTGAAGGCGAAAGGGGCCAGGGACATGATGTTTGGCAATACATTGCTGCCTTCATTTTGTATAGTTACAGTGGAGCATCCTGGGTGACAAGCTGGTGGGGAACCTTTGGAGTCAGTGTGCTTTTGATGTACCCATGAGAAGCCACTTTTTTGCAATCCATAGATTTGGTTGCAAAAAAAAAAAAAAAGTTCATTTTTAAACAATGAAGTTAACAACTCCTCAGGATTCCCTGGTGGTCTGCTGAGCTACTTACCAAAAGGTGGCTAATTCAGATACACCCAGAGGTGCCTTGGAAGATCTTTTCGAAGATCACAGCCATTGAAAACCTTATGGAGCACAGTTCTACTCTGACTCACATGAGGTCACCAGGAATTGAAATCTGGTTTGGTTTTGATTTTTTTTACAACAAACTCTCATCATCGAACATATTAAAATAGAGAAGAGCTGCAAAACAGGAGTGGGAATGACCCACAGTTTTACCACCCCAAGTCTGTTGTTGTTGTTATGTGCCGTGGAGTCGGTTCCGACTCATAGTGACCCTGTACAGGATTTCTAAGGCTGTAAATCTTTACGGGAGCAGAACACCTTATCTTTCTCCTGCAGAACAGCTGGTAGTTTCGAACTGCTGACTTTGCGGTTCGCGGCCCGATTCGTAACCACTACGCTACCCCACCCCAAGTCTGTAGTAGTTGTTAAGTTCCATAAAGTCAGTTTTGACCCATAGCGACCCCATGCAGGGTTTCCAAGGAGCAGCTGGTAAGTTTGAACCGCCGACCTTGCAGTTCAAACTGACTTTGAAGTCCAGCACATTATTCCATAGTGCCATACTGCTAATATAAGGAAGAATTTCCTCAGCACAATTTTATGGTTTCGCATTGGGACATAAAAGGAAAAAACTGTGCCTAATTTCACAAAAAGGAGCTCTGGTAGCGTAGTGGTTACGAATCGGGCTGCGAACCTTAAGGTCAGCGGTTCGAAACTACCAGCCGCTCCGCGGGAGAAAGATGAAGCTTTCTACTCCCGTAAAGATTTACAGCCTCGGAAACCCTATACAGGGTCGCTATGGGTCGGAACCGACTCGATGGCACATAACAACAACAACAACAATTTCACAAAGGGAGGGATATGCTTATAGCTTTTAAAAGCAAAGAGAACAACAGTATATAAAGGATTTCCAAGCAAATCACAGGTCAGGTGGCCTGTCCAAAGTGACAGGATTATCTCTATCTGTGTACTTAGGTTTATCTCGTTCCCAAAAGGATTCCGTAGGAGGAAATTGGCTTTAAAATGTGCATTGACCTTGCAGAAGCCATTGCATTTAACTTTCCGTGGCTCAGACTGCAGGAGCATAATCTCTTTGGCACACTTCTGGGCAACTTTAAATAAGAAAACAGCCAGCTAAAGAAAAATAATAGTCTCTCCAGAGAGGCTCCCAAATCTCCTCACCCCCATCCCTACCTCCTACCCAGCCGGAGCCAAAGCTGTATGATATTCACTGAGTGGGAAAAGCAAAACAGGAAACAGAATGAGAAAATGAGACTCTTTTTACATAACCTCGGGCTTTTATCCACAGAAAAGGGTCTGTCTCCTGCAAATGTGGGGCCAGGAGCTGATGGGCAGCCCATGCCACCCTGGATCACCATTGCCCGGCAGAAGCGCCGAGGGGTCCCAGACCTGCCACCCAACCAGGAAGACAGGCTTGGGGTGTGGAACCTGAAGTCTGAAATGGACAAGCAGCCCAAGGCCCCAGAGAGAGCCCAGGTGCGCAACACAAACACTTTCTGTTTCAGGTCCAGGAGAAAGCAAGCCAGCTGGGGGCAGAGGGCTGGTGTCCCCTCCCTGCTGACGACACGTCCTACATGGTCATTCCTGAGTCCATCACCCGTCAGGGTGACTCAGTGAAACCCAGTGAACGATTTGATTTACCTCCACTGTGGAAAAGTCTGCCGGCCTGTGTGCTGGGTCATTAGGGAGGTAGAGAGGCGAGTGACTCACTTAGGCGGTGCATCTAACTCTCTGCTTCCTGCCTCCTAGCAACGCTGCTCCTAGGCATCTGAAGAAACGAAAGGAGGTTAAAATAACTTCTCAGTGAGACTCACAGCGACAGTGTCAACAGCTCCATCTTGGCTCATGGCTCTGTAGTAAATGAGCCCTGTGTTTTGCTGTTGGGCTGGCTGCTTGCTGGGGCTTCATACTCCTCACCTGAGGCTGCACCTGGGGCTTCCATTTTGCTTCCTGGACTGCAAACAGTACTTTTAAACCAAAACAACTGTGATTAGAAGCAGGCCAAGATTCACAGCTTTTCGTATTCCTTTAGCACCAATCCATAAGCATGTTTCAGCTGTGTGCTGAAATGGGCCTGAGCCTGCAGTAAATCTGTGTCCCTTCATTTTAATCAAGACTTCAAATTCACCAGTGCTTACAAAGCCTTAGGTTGTTGTTGCTGCTAAGTACCATAGAGTCGGTTCCGACTCTTCGTGACCCTGCACAGGGTTTCTGAGGCTGTAAATCTTTACAGGAGCAGAAAGCCTCATCTTTCTCCCATGGAACAGCTGGTAGTTTCGAACTGCCGACCTTGAGGTTAGCAGCCTGATTCGTAATCACTACGCTACCAGAGCTCCACCTAGGAATTTTATAAGAGATATATTATCCAGTGAGTCTCAGTTTAGGGCCTCAGCATTCACTCACACCAGGTACCCTAAAGTTCTCAAAAATATTTCCAAGTTCATTTTGATTTTCAACTTGAGTCACTGCAGTCCAACAATCTGGGGCTGAGGACAGGAAAGAGACTGTGACACACCTGTGGACTCAAGGTAAGGACCAACACTGGTCTGAGCTCCCTTTTAGGAAGGCTTGGCGTCAGTGAGTTGACAAGTTGGAGCTTGATGAAGCAAGTGCCAGCAGGCATGGCTCATCTTGGTGGGGAAACCTTTTGGTGAAAGTAAGTCACTGTGGTAATGTTTGCTTCCTATCTGAATCACCTGTACCCACATGGTACATGTCTTTCTCATATTCTAATAGGTGTCCACAAAACAAGGTGACTTTGTCCGCAGTAAATCTTTCCTGATAGCACCGGCTAAGCCCTCTGTGGAACGGAAGCATGGGACAAAACTCAGCCTCAAAGAGGGATTGCAAAGAGGGATCTCACTGTCCCATCAGAACTTGGGTATGAAATATACAAAATCTTACTAAACGCTTTGAAATAGTGCTTGGGATCGTTCTTGTTTTTATTCTGGACATTTCTCTCACCTCACTGCATTACACACATTCTTCTGCTAAGCCTTCTTGGCATGTTTACATATTAATAAATCTATGTTTGAGAGCACGGTCAAGAGACTTAAGTGAAACTCCCAAGTCATTTGTCATGTTGCTGTTTGTTTTCTTTCCAACAGTTCAGTCTGCAGGGATGACGGAGAAAGAATTGAACCAGCTGAAGAGGGCCAGTTATGCCAGTGCAGATCAGCCATCCTGGATGGAGCTTGCCAGAAAGAAATCGCAAGCCTGGAGCGACATGCCCCAGATTATAAAATAGGTTGACCGTGTTCTGATAAAGAATGTCCAACACCTTCACGAGCCACTTAGTTTAAAAACCACCAGTAAATCATGACAAACAAACTGTGAAACTAAAGATTGATTTGTATCATCTAGTTACCAGAGAGTGAGGGAGCTCAGGGGAGAGGGGAGGAGCCAGGCAAAACAAAGAGGCCTAGAAGTGCCCCCAAACAAGAACAACTTTGAAGAAGGCCAGTAATGTGTGCTTGTGCACAAATGGATGAACGTGGGTGTAGGCTTAACATTCCCTTAATTACGGAGGGCTCAGGCAAGGTGGAAAAGTGGAAATGAAATGTGGATGAAAAATTGGGATGTGTCTGCGGGGCCCGAAAAAGAAAACTGTTTTAGAAGCATGTGTGTACTGTGCTTCCATCTGAGATAAACCCATTGTCTCTGGTTGCTGTCTTGCCTGTGGACCCTGTCCTTTCATGTTTACTACTAGGCATGACATCCGCAGTGAAACAGGGATGCTGTTTCCCAGAGCAGCTATAAAACCAACTGTTTTCCTGGCGATAGCCACTGGAAGAGGAGGAGAAGGGAACATAGCAGGGTTCATCAGTTCACAGACTGTTTCCAAAAATAATTTCTGAAAATGTTTTCACTAACGTCTGTTGTCTTTAGCCATTGCACAATGAATTGCCTGTTCAATAAAAGACTTCCAACATAGTTTCTGACGTTTGGGAAATGTTATTCCTGCTCTCATCTGTAGAGTGTCTTCTATGGTATTGAGCTGTGTACTGTGGATGGCATTTCATTGAATACTTACCTGCATTAAATTAAAATCCAAATGAGGTTGATTTTGGAGTTGGACTTTGGGGAAAATAATCTTTTTTTTTTTTTCCAATAAGATTTTTGTTTCTGAAGTCAGAAAATAATGCTAGTGTTTATGTTCTGTTTTTGTTTTGTTTTTTCCTCATTTAATCTATTTGGTACAACATATGAAAATGTAAAATTTCCTGAAAAGGTTTTATTCTTTTCCAGTCTGCACATTTCTTTTGGAAACTGGGTTAGTAATGCATTTAGCCAGTGTGACCCCTGAATACAGAGTCAAGAGAAGGCAGACAGCGAGAGGATGTATATCTGGGTCTCAGAATTGTGTCTAAGTTATAGAATACCTCTTTATTTTTAAAAACATTTCCAGTTTGTTCCTTTGAACAAGTTTATTTCCATGAAAATATGTATGTTGATGTTAAATGCCGTTGAGTGCTTTCCAACTCATAGCAACCCTGTATAGGATTTCCAAGGAGCAGCTAGTGGGTTTGAACTGTCTACCTTAAAATTCAAAGTCCAGTGCTAATCCTACAGAGCCACACCATTAAGTGGTTGACATTTAGCCATCAGAATTGGGAAGACCTCATCCTATATTATTTGATTTTATGTACCCTATTTTACTGTATTTTCCATCTTCATGAATAATTCCTTTTCTAGCTGTTAGAACTGCACAACTTGAGAAAGTCTAACTTTATTGAATTCAAAATGCAAAACACCTGAAAGCATAATGAAGGGCATTGTCTTGTGGCTATTCACAACTTAAAATACAAAGCCCTGACACAGGTTTTTTTCCCCAACCAGATTGATTAATTGCATTCTTTTAGAGTGGTGATGGTGGCTATGTGCCATGGAGTCAGTGCTGACTCATAGCAACCCTGTAGAGGGTTTCTGAGGCTGTAAATTTTTACAGGAGCAGAAAGCCTCATCTTTCTCCCGTGGAACAGCTGGTAGTTTCAAACTGCTGACCCTGCGGTTCGCAACCTGATTCGTAACCACTATGCTACCAAGCTCCTTTCTCTTAGAGCAGTCAATAGGAATTCCATGGTGAATATGCTCTCAGTGAGAGCTCAATTCATCTAGCCGTCACCAAAAAGTGTAGACTGAATAGTCTTAAGTGAAAGCACCTCATGTGTGTGAAGCAGAAACTATGCTTCAAACAAGATTATATCTAAAGGCATAGATAGGGGTTAGGATTCTAACAGGTGTATTTCATGAAACACAGTCTAAATCATAACAATTAACTTCAACTATTATTAAGTGCGGTGCTGTGGGCTAATGCGTCAGACAGACAGCAAAGTCGTTTGAACTGCAAGATCGGTGGTTCAAGCTCACCAGCTGCTCCTCGGAAACCCTATACAGGGTTGTGATGGGTCGGAACCGACTCGACGGCACTTAACAACAACAACAAGAAGAACAACAACATCCCTGTTAAGGAGATCTAGTAGCATAGAGGTTACAAATCGGGCTGCTAACCTCAAGGCCAGCTAGTTCGAAACTCCCAGTGGTTCCATGGGAGAAAGATGAGACTTTCTGCTCCCGTAAAGATTTACAGCCTCAGAAACCCTATACAGGGTCGCTATGAGTTGGAACTGACTCCATGGCACATTACTACCACCGTCATCCCCATTAAGGAGCTCTCATTGCGTAGTGGTTACAAGTCACAAGTGATGATCTCAAGGTCAGCAATTTGAAACTATCAGCTGTTCTGTAGGCGAAAGATGAGACTTTCTTCTGTAAAGATTTAGAGCCTCAGAAATTCTATGCAGGGTCTCTATGAGTGAGAACTGACTTCATGGCACACCACCACCATCATTCCCATTTAAAAAAAAAAAAAAATGTTAGTGCAGAATTGAATCAGTGTCCTCAAAGTCTAGACCTGGAAGCATTGAACTTGACTGTCTCAAATGTTCTTACGTCCTTGGGACAAGCACACACCTCGTGATGCCTACCTTGGGTGACCATACTTAGTTCTTCAGAAGCACTGGAGAAAGTGTGAGAGGTTTTTTGGTTTTGTTATTTTTACTGATAAGCATTCTAAGCTATGTGGCCTTTCACCCATCCCTTCACTTTTAGCCAATACCTTTGTAGTAGGCATTGCACAAGGAACTGGAGTACCTTGATGAGTAAGTGTACAGGCAGGCTAATCTCATGACCCAGGCATTCTAGTTGGGGTAGAGTGGAGTGGGGGACACACCAAATAAATAAACATGGGAAAATAGCAAGTTTAACCATGAACCTAAAACAGAGGCACTTGGTCATGACAGGAAGGCATTGAGATTAAAGGGTTGGCTGAAAGGTGACCTCATTATCCAAATAAACTATCCATGCAAAAAAGTCAAAATGAAGAGAACACACCAGGCTGAGGTAAGAGCTCTGCAAAGGTCAGAGGTGGGAATCAGATCTTGTGTGTACAAGGAGTAGCAATGTAGCTGGGACTTTCTGAACAGGGCAAAAAGCAGAAGAGAACGAATTAGAAGGTAGGATGGACCCGTTGTGGAAGGCTGTATGGGGCGATGGAGCTTTTTCTAAATGCTTCAGAAGGCCTCGGTAGGAGATTTTGTAGCACTATAGGATAAGCATTACACTGCTAGCTGCAGGATTGGCCGTTCAAACCCACCAGCTGTTTCTCGGGAGAAAGTGAGGCTACCTGCTCCTGAGAAGATTTACAGCCCAGAAATCCTGCACAGGGTTGCTTTGTGTTGGAAACAACACAATGGCAGTGAGTTTGTTTGTTTGTTTTTTTAAATAGGAAGCCAGTAAAAAGAGGAGTGATAAGAAATGGTGTGATTTACATCATAAGAAGATGGTTGTAGCTGATGGGTGAGACTTGACTGTGTGGAGAGAGGAAGCTTAAAGACAATGTGGTCCATCTAGGATCATGAAGGTCTGGTCTGTGGTAATGGTGCTTATGGGAAGAAGTGGATGGATCTAAAACATGTGTTAAAGGTAATATATAAGCCAACAGGCTGACGGGTTTTGATGAGGTGTGAAAAGGATGAATGGATGCAGAGAAGATGTAGATTTGGGGCGGGAACTCCAGGGTGAATAGTGATTCATATACATAAATATAGAGGATGCAAAGAAATCATCCGTCCAGTTTTGCTCATCTTAACTTTGAGATTCCCATGAAACATTTAAGTGGGAATGTCACATAAACAAAGTTAGGAATTTTGGAAGTCGTCAGCATTTAGGATGGAAATTCAGGGATCTGAAAGAGAACTAACTTGAAGAAAAGGGTCCTAGGATGATCCAACATTTGGAATCTAGGTAAAGAAGAGCCAGCAAAGGAGCCCGAGGAAGAGTCTGTGAAGGAAAAGGGAAAGCAGATGAGAACAAAGCAGGAGAGAATGCTAGAAGGAAGAAGGAGGAATCAGTTTTGTCAGCTGGAATCTGCTAGAGGACCAGCCAGATGAGAACCAGTGACCAATGGCTCTGGAAGCACGGAAATCATAGGCGACCTTGACAAGAGCAATTTCAGTAAAATGTTAGAGAAGGAAGCCCAGACAGAGTGGGGCGAGTCCAGTCAGCCTTTGAAGACACCCTAAAATCAACGTTTAAGAACTTGTACAGTAAATGGGAACAGAAGGAACAGCAGTAGCTAGAGCAACATGTAGAACTAACAGAATTGTTTTATTTTTTGTTCTTTAGAAGGAAGATGTGATAGCATGTTTAAGTGTTGCTAGGAATACATACCTAGGAGAGAAGAGAACATTCTTGAAGCATGTCTTACTTTGCCTACCAGACTTCAGTAAGGATAAAATACCTGGTGTTCCTAGAAACTGGACTCTTGGGTTTTGATCAAGTTGCAAAGGGAGGTCCCACTGTGATGACAACGTAGTTATGCTCTCCCCCTGTTTTCCCTGGCTAACTGTGAATGCCTATCCATTTTTCTTACCTTGGTTTGACTGTTACTGCCCAATTTTCATATTCAGGGAGAATGGTGTTGGATATTATTTGACTCTGCAGAGTTCTGGTGTGTCACTATATAAGGTAAGAACTTGACTGCTAACCACAGGTGGGCAGTTCAAACCCACCAGCCTACTCTTTGGAAACTCTATACAGAGTTGCTATGAGTTAGAACCGACTCAATGGTACTTACCAACAACATAACAACAGCATACAGAGCTCTGGTAACCCCTCACTTACTGAGTACATATATGAGTAAATTCTGTAATTCAGGGAAAATTTGATTTAAATACCAGCAAATTA